AATCTTGGTGGCTGCAACAGCGTTCTCTAAATAATAATGATAACCGTCATCGTCATCTATACTCATCTAATAAATGTTATTATTCCCCATGAGGGGTTTTGTAATTCTCTTTCTAAAGTGCTGCAGCTGGCTGGCTGCATAAAATCAGGTTACTGGCACCACAAAGGGAATATGTTATCAAAAAGCAAACCAGAAAAATGCCCTGGCTTTAATAATACAAAGCTATGTGACTTATTGATATTTAATTATTAAACTTCTCTGTTGGAAGATGCTGTATGAAAAATTAGGAAAATGAAGTTTAAACACTTCCAGTTTCTACAGTAGTAACAGTGTTCCGTCATTTCGCATGCTTTCCTGCAGCTACGAAAACAGCAGGACAGTCATTATCAAACAAATGAGACAGCCAATAGGAAGGAGACCTTTTGGGGAGGGAAATTAAAAATGAATAAAAACAAACAAACAAACAAAATCCCAGCAATTATTTAAAAAACAACAGCAAGAACAAAACAACCTGCTGTGCTTAGGAGCAATTCTTCTGCAAATTCTTATCTGAATTTATTTTCAGGTGATGTTATCAAGTGTTCTTTCATTAGCTAAGCCTACATATCTCCTTAATAATTGTGAGAACAATGGAAAAGGTGCAGGAAATCTTTGTGAGATGTACTTTGTGAGAGGTTTCTTCTTATGCAGCTTCCTTCCCCGTCTGATAGTTTGGTGGCAGATACCTAATAAAACACAGCAAATGATTCATTTAAAAGAAAATACCAGATGGCATGGCACTGAAATGCCTTCATTCTAACTCTGCATTTCAGCTATCTATAGGTAATGCCACAGGTGCATCCTGTTACTAATCTTTTATATTCTGGTCTAAGAGATAGGAATAGTTATAAAGGAGTTGCAGAATACGTTATGTCTTAATGAACAAGCTGCTATTGATGTCTGTTTGATTCTCCACCCTTTATGTATTTCCTGAAACAGCCCAGCTGAAGTGCTGCGAAGGCAGCAAAATGGAAACTGTAAACACCCTTGAGATAACCATAGGAAATAAAAACTGGGTTCCAGAGTTAGCAATCCCAGTCAGCCTCTTCAACTTGCCACGCGCTGCCAGATTTCTGCATTGTGCTTTACTGACTTCCGAGCTGTCAGCTAAATTAAAAAATAGATGCACAAAATGAGTTTTCTGTCTGCAAGTATGTACATTTTATAAATACTTTGAAGATTATGGAATTGCTGCAGGATAGAAACAGAGATGGCTCACGACTTAAAGAATTTGGGAATTTTCTGTATTTACAGATGTTTTTTTCACCGTTAATGAGCATAAGACTGAAAATAGAAATAAATGACTCCAGAGAGCATAAAACTTGTTTGTTTGCCTTTTTCTTGTAAGCAGTAAGGGAATGCATGCCCTGCACCCGACACCCTGCACCCAATACTCTGTTCTGCTGGCCAGAGGAGGGAGCCATGTGTGTAGGAATAACAGAAGTGGCAGAAAGCACCTTCTTGAATCCTGTCAGGTTAGCATGGAGACGCAGTGGCTTTCGTGAGCTTAAATGAAATAGATTATTTTCAGCCTTTTCCTCATGGTCATTTCATGTTACCAGTATCTCTGTATATTTTTCAGTTCTGGATTATTTTCAACACTGTGGCATTGTAGGCTTCCAGAGGTGCTGAAGTTACTGTAATTATTCTTCAGAGTACAGTCTTAAAAATTGAAAATGAAGGCAGACCCGCAGAGTGGCTTGACTCGTTAAGAATCCTGAAGAACTGAAGTGCCTTTCATTGGCACAATTCACAGCAGTTTTTGTTTGGTTGTCCTCTCTTCCTTCCCTTCCTCCCTCCCTCCTTCACTCCTTATTTTTCTTTCCTTCCTTCCTTATTTTTCCTTCCTTCCTTTCTTTCTTTCACATTTTTTGTTCACTTCGTTTTGTTTTTGTGGTTTGAAATCTGTGTTTTTTGCCATTTCCTTTTAGAGCACCATTTGAGTAAATTTGTTTATTTACTGTAAGAAAATAGTGCACCTGACAAGAAAAGATATTTGAAACTACTGATATGGAAATACCAGGCAGTTGCATGGATTATTGTGAGCCAAGATGCGTGTAAGCAAAACTGCCTTTCCCCATCATAGCTCTTGAATGTTCTTCTATAATATTCTCCATAATGCAGAGAAACTGTTACAGTTTTAAAAGTAAGCAGTTTCAGTGCTGGCTTGCCAGGAAGTTTTGTCATTTGTCATTTTGCAAGGTTTCATTTATAGACAGTGACTGCTGACGATGTTCACTTTGTGCTGTGAAATATGGACTGTAACAAAATCATGAGGGGTTTAGTTGTTGGTTTTCTTTGCATCCTTCGAACACCAGGATGGCATCAGAATTCCCTGCCAAACTGGTGCAAGCTCTGTTGTGGTCTTGAGGAAATTATTTTATTTCCTTAGGTGAAAGTTGTGGGCTTTTTCAGTCCACTCTTCTGTGCGTATGTGTGCATGTATCTGTGCACGCACAGATATGCACACATAAAGCAGATACGAGGTAGCAGTCCGTCCCTTACAAAACCACCTTCAGCCTTAATTCAGATCCATTGATTTCTATTCCAGTTAAACCTGAAGAACTTAATTTGTCTTTTAATCCTTTTATTGTAAGCCAGGATAAAATTAATTTTACCCAAGAACTGTGCAAAGCCAATTAACATGATCTTTAGAGTTATTTAGTAAAGTGCTCCAAACTGTTAAATTCACCCTGACCTCGTGGCTGCACTCTCTGACTGCTTTTTAAATGAAGCAATCAATAACCTGCAGCCTTTTAAACAATTTGAACTTCTGAAATGCTCTACCTGTATTTTAAATGCTTTGTGAATACCCTCTTTGCTTTGTGTTACCCGTAAGGCTGCCTCCTCTAAGCACTGTTTAGATGTAGTTTTCAGAAGACATTGGAATATTTAACACAGTCATTTGGTCTGAAGTAAACCCAAGTATAAAGGAATGCTTGGATGCATTATGCCCCTCCAACACTGTGCAGTGCTGGAGGCAGGCTGTTTTCCAAGGTACACATGCACTGTTTTCCAAGGCACGCGTGCACTATTTGCTGAGGAAAATGTGCAACATTAGTGTCCTTCCTCCAGCAGGGCTCCTGCTTCCACGCAGAGCTCTCTGGGGTTATTAATTTCCCCTCCGTGATAGGGTGATCAACTGTCCTGTCAGGAAAATGGATCTCCGTGTCACCCATCGCATGATTAAATGGAGCCACGGCGCGGTGAGAAAATACCAAATTTTCTCGAGACAAATGGAAGTGGAGGAAGGACTACTTCCAGAGACATCATTTCATTTTAGATTCTCCCAAACAGCTGTCAGTTTATTCGTAGGAAATCGTTGCCATTCATTTTACGCTTTTGTGAGTAATTTAAAAAAAAAAAAAAAAAAAGTGAATGCAAAAATCTTTTACGTATGTTTTTTTTTTTTATAATTTCACTTGGAAGTTATAGCAAAGGAACATTATGGCCGTTGTGCCGTCTGAGCGAGAGCCGTCGCGGGCACCTGCGTGCTGCTGTGCAGGGTGCTGGGTCGGGGCAGGGCCTGGTGTTCGGCTCTGGGTGCCGGCTGGTTTGTTGCGTGCTGCCTGATGAGAACTGAGAGCCCTGAGGAATCAGGACCAGCATTTCAGGATGCTGCGACGTCTGCCTTTCGGGGACCCCGAGCCAAGCCAGCTGTGTGGCCGTGAAAGAGCAGAGTGCAGGGCGATAGGAGCTGCTGTACTCCCTGCTTTGTCTGTGCAACCCCTTTCCAGCCTTCTCCCTCTCCAGGCAGCCCCTATTGATTTTTTCCCCCTCTCCTGCCATTGTTCAGCTTTCCATTGGATTTTTCCTCCCCTTCAGCTGGCACGTTTCTGTCGCTACTGCACTGCTGTCTCTGAACCACGATGGCTGCATTTGCTTAAATGTAGTCAGCTTTCTGGAGGTAGCATCTCATTTCTGATGGAGCACAGGTAGACCTGCGCTGGGCATGCTAATTAGCCCCTTCTTAACCTGTGCTCTGATGATTCTCATCCAGTGCTGTCTGGCTTTCCTGAAAAGGTTTGGTAGAGGAACCTAAGAGGAGTGTTAAGGCTTTGTTGTTATATATCGGATTTGTAGGTCTTTTTTTTTCTTTTTTCCATTGCACTGGGAATTAGCTGAACGTGAGCTGTACTTGTCTGGCTGTATTTCAGTCTCATAAACTTCTAAGATTTGGCTTCTTTATTCCTAAAAAAAAACCAGAAAAAAAAAACACCCAAAAACCCAAAATTGATCCACCCTCCATCAACCAAATCTAATATAGCCCAAGAGTTTTTAGTTTCACCAATAATATAAAACTTAGAGTTTCATTTTAAAATTCACACTACAGTGAGGTTTTTCCATGATTCCAGAGGATGTTTGTTAAAAAAACATTTGGGATACTGAAATGTAATGGTATATATCCTTATGCTAAAATTTAGTAAGAACTAGAATATTGTGATGGATCATAACACAGAAGGTTGAGGGTTTTTTGGTAATAGAAATCCAGTATTCCGAAATACACTTTGTGAGGTAAGGAAACCAGAGAGGATTTCTATTTGTTACAGAAATTTACGGTGAACAAAAATTAGGCCAAATATTACTTTTCACAAAAGCAGATAAACACAATTCTGTTGATTATGGCTTTTTCCTCTGCAAAAGAATAAAGATCTATAAAATTTGATGGTTTTCTGCCTCCCCCTTCCTTTTTTTTTTTTTTTTTCTTCAGCAGGGTCTTGACAGTTTTTGAAGGATGGGTGAGATAGCAGTTGCAAAAGTAGCTATTTAGACTTCTGTTGTGCATTTTGGGAAGTAAAAGTCATTATCTACAGCAGCTGAAAATTCTGCTAAGGGAAGTAACTGCCCTGAAGATATGCTCTAAGTTAAATGGAATCTCTTTTATTTTCTCTGGAAAACAGAATGTTTGGAGTGTTACGCCTTGCTTTTGTTTTCCTTATAGCTTCTCCTTCTTGTTTCAGGCTGCCTGTCCAGTCTCCCGCAGCTGAAGAAGATCTCCACGTCCTATGAGGAGCGCAGGAAGCAGGCTACAGCCATCGTTCTGCTGGGTGTGATTGGGGCAGAATTTGGGGCTGAGATTGAGCCCCCTAAGCTGCTGACACGGCCACGCAGCTCCAGCCAGATCCCTGAGGGCTTTGGGCTGACGAGCGGTGGGTCCAATTATTCCCTGGCAAGGCATACCTGTGAGTATCCCTGTCCCTTGTTCTGGCATTTAGGGTAGGGGGGTTTTTAAAATATCACGTACTAACGTTCCAGTATGCATCAAGTCATTAAAAAATTTCCTTTCGGAGGATGGAATAAAGTTGAAATGTGGAATGTGCAAATAAGCAGTGTCATCATAAGTGGTGGACAAGAAGTTGGTGCTCATACAGAGAGCAGAGAAGTGTCCAGGATGGCAGCACAGCTGCAGGCAGTGATGCACCAATAGTCAGCAGCAGCCCAACTTTCGCTGGCACCGTCCAGCACTGCTGTTGGCGCTCCTTGTTCTCTTCTCTATGCTTACACTAAAATCTAAGGCTGCATTTATGTAATTCATACTTTTTTTCCTATGAAAATATATCTTGGGCTGTAAAGAACAAGAGGGTGTGAATAGTGAACACCTGTCCTGCCTCTTAAATTGACAGATCTTCATTGCAGCACTTTGTAGCTCTTACAGTGCAGGAGTTCTGTCTCTACCTGAACACTGTCACAGTTTGCTTACTTCATGCACGTAATTCTGAGGAATAGACTGTATAGGATCAGTAACCTATAGGAAGACATACTTGGCAATGACTTAAGAGGAAGAAGTATCTTAAGCGAGAAAAACAGACACAGATGAGTTCAGTGTAAAATGCTATATAAAATGTTACATTCTGGGCCCGTATGAAATGTAGTCCTGTAATGTTGCTGTAATTACACTTCCTACAAACAGTGACAGTGATCTTATATAAGAACGTAACATATCTGTGGGTTGTCAATTTGCTGTTAATATTGCAAAATGTAATGGAAGCAGATGCAGCTGTAGTGCTGTAAGCCTGTGGCTGGGTTCCTAAGCACGCTGGTGTTTGTTTTAGGGGAATCTGAAAAAAGTCCCCTGTGTCATCTCCCTGCCATCTCTCTGAAGTGCTGTGGACTCATTGCTGGTATTGCTGGAAAAACCACCAATTACCTGGTTGGTTATAAAATAACTTCACAGGAGAGGATTTCTGCTCTTGTACTGGTTTAGTCTTCACGTGATGCCCAAGATGTCAGAGGAAAAGAGGACAAAAAATGCAAATATCTGAAAAGCAGTGTATTGTCTGAGCTCAGAGCTATTACCAGGAGACTGGTTCTTACGAGTGGGAGGAACGCTTTTGCTAAGCTTGAAATGGCAAGAAGACAAAGCAAGGATCTGCACTTGTGCTGGGTCTAGGATCCTTTGAGCCCTGTGTGCTAAACAGTCAGTGCTCCAGGCCTGAAACTGATGTGTGTGAGGTCTAGATTATCACAGAGCAGTGCTATTCAGCAAAGTCTTGAAGGCCTCAAGTACCAGGGCATGACTGGACATTTTTCATTTCCTGTGTATCTGCTTGCTTCTGTTAGAGGATAGTCTTCCTTCTGGTGTCTGTACAAGCTACAGGGACTCCTCTTCAGAAAAGATACAAAATTCATTCTGTTTTTTTTCTAGTAATGTTTTACTCCAACTTATTTTTCAATAAAATACGCAGAAAAATAGTTTCAGAATAGTAAATTAAACATTTTTAAATGAAATTTAGGAAAAAAAAATAAATTTTTACTTACTTATGGTGCAATACCATAACAATCATAAGTAGAGCTTCATTACTCTGCTGTTAGATTAAGTACCCTGAGAACTGCTGGCATGGCTGCGTTGGTGCCCAGTTCACAGAATCACAGAATGGCCAGGGTTGGAAGGGACATCAAGGATCATGAATCTCCAACCCCCTGTCACATGCAGGGCCACCAGTGCTGAGCTGGCAGCCACTGAACTAAGTTGTAGCAGATTGTACTCAGAGCCCAGGAACATCTTGCAGCATTACTTGAGTCACCAGCATAGCCTCCACCATTCAGCTGGCGGGCAGACTGCCCCAGGGTTTGGAAAGCAAAGGGATGGTTGGTTCTTTAGAGCACATGCGTGTGATGTGCAAGTGGAACTGAAACTGAAGTCTTGTAATTCATAGACTCATAGAATAGCCTGGGTTGAAAAGGACCACACTGCTCTTCCAGTTCCAATCCCCTGCTGTGTGCAGGTTGCCAACAGCAGCCCAGGCTGCCCAGAGCCACATCCAGCCTGGCCCTGAATGCCTGCAGGGATGGGGCATCCACAGCCTCCTTGGGCAACCTGCTACAGTGCCTCACCACCCTCTGAGTGAAAAACTTCCTCCTAATATCCAACCTAAGCCTCCCCTTCTCAGTTTAAGACCATTCCCCCTTGTCTTATCACCATTCACCCTCACAAACAGCGAGGCTCCCCCCTCCTGTTTATACACTCCCTTCAAGTGCTGGAAGGCCACAATGAGGTCTCCCTGGAGTCTTCTCTTCTCCAAGCTAAACAAGCCCAGTTCCCTCAACCTTTCCTCACAGGAGAGCTGCTCCTGCTCCAAGAGCTCCACATCTTTCCTGTACTGGGGGCCCTGGACGCAGTGCTGCAGATGGGGCCTCACAAGAGCTGAGCAGAGGGGAACAATCAAGAGGGATGATCACCTCCCTCTCCCTGCTGGCCACCCCTTTTTAATGCAGCCCAGAACACAGCTGGCCTTCCGGGCTGCAGACACACACTGCTGGCTCGTGTCCAGCTTCTCATCCACCAGGACTCCCAAGTCCTTCTCCACAGGGCTGAAAACTCGCAGTTGGTACAGATACCTGGGATTGCCCTGGCCCAAGTGCAGCACCCTGCACTTAGCCATGTTAAACCTCATTAGGTTTAACATGGCTAAGGCTCATTTAACATGAGCCCACTTCTGCAGCCTATTCAAGTCCTTCTGGATGGCTTCCCTTCCTTCTTGTTCTTTATTTTCTTTTCCCCTTTTACAGTTTCTTGCTCATCTACCAATCCCAGCTGCTTTCAGTCCTGGTGTTCTTCTCAGCAGTGTCGCCTGGTCAGAAGCTTGGCTGATGACTGGACCATCTGTGATCATCACAGCCTCTCTTCTCCTATGTTTTTATTCAGCTATCTACTTGCTGCTTTTGTTACATTAGGCTTAGCAGAACTGTGAGCTCCATCTCTGAACTCCTATTAATCATAATGTCAGGAACACCACACAGCTGTCGGGCTGACTGATAGGGTGAAATTCAGGATTTAATGTAGATGAAACTTGACACAGTAAAATACTGAAGTTTTACATCTGGGCCATAAAGTAATTTGTGAAGTGCTTAAAGATCCAAAGGAAGATCAGGATACTTTTGCCTGTAGTAGTTTGGATTGTGAAAGGCAAATGCCTTATCAGATGTTAGTGAGATCCCCATCCCATCCAAACCAAGTAATCTAAGTTGGAGGTATCAACGTCTTCTCATGAGAATTTGTCAAATGAGAGCATTGTTACAACTTCAAGGAAGTGAAGAGCAATTGGCGTTTATGAACAAAGAAGACACTGTTTGCTTCCGGTATTAGCAGTAAGCTTGAATCATCATAGAATCATAGAATTGTTAGGGTTGGAAAAAGCCTTTAAAGTCTCCAAGCCCAGCTCACCCCCACTGTGACCACTGACCACATCCCCAGGTGCCACGTCTCCATGGTTCTTGAACACCTCCAGCAGTGGAGGTTGTCGAAGTTATGAGAGAAATTACATGTAGCCTAACACCATGGTATTTTCTATTTAAAAGCAAGTTATCCAAATGAATTAGGTCTTCATTTGCAGTGTTAATGTGCGCACATTTATCTAAGTTGTACACATTGTGACTTACTGTATTTAAGAAAATAACTGATAATGTCTTGTTAAGCGAACAGAATTCTCCTGAAATCCACCCAGTGACCTTGCCTGCCGTTCCGCATTAATCTCTGTTGACATTACAAATAGTTCATGAGATATTTAATTACAAAATGCCACCTCAAAGTTTTCTCATTATAGATGCACCACATTACACTCAAACTGCAGCTAATACTGTGTTTATAAAGAGAATGGGCTAATAAACCTGAATGGCAGGTTGGTCCTCAAGATGAAAATATTCGATTCTGTTGTTAATGCAGGATGTTTTGCAAAGCATCTGCCATCAGTACAGTTGTTAATGGTAAGCATTCTGCCCTTTAACTCAGAGTCATATGTGACAGCATGCTATGGCAGTGAGGTATGCAGATGGGTTTTGCAGGCTATGTTCACACTTGCCTCCTTCCTAAGCAATTTTTCAGTTTCCAGGTGGCAACTTAGGGCAGTCACTCCAGTTTGGCTGACCTGTTTAGTGTGGGAACCACCAGCACTTAGGTTCCTACAGCAGACTGGTAAGGAAGACACAGACCTAATGAGGGAACCCAGCAGGTGCTGGCAGCAGCAATTAGCACAGAAGAGCTCAGGATCCTCACCTGGAGGAGCAAGAAATCATCTGAGCAGCAGAGCAAATTAGGGAAGCTGGCTCAGAAACCAACCAACCAAAACTCGATGCATCGGGATTAAAGCAAATAACTGATGGTATTGCTCCTAGTGAGAGACTGCTTTTAGTGCTGGCTGTTTTGCTGGCTGTTCCTCTGTATCAGTCATGCAGGAAGAGGCTGCCCTGTGTTTGGTGACATGGGGCTGGTTCTGCACTTATCAGTCTGCACATTTGGAAATTCAGTGCAAGACCAAGATGTGCCCTCGATAGTTTTTTTTGGGTTGCGATTAGATTAGTCTTAAACAGAATTTGGCCCTGAAGGGGAAAAATAATAGGAGAAAGGAACAGAGTAGTTTATAAAAATCTTTATGTTAGCCTTAGAGATAATACTTAGAAAAAGCAGTCAATCTGTATGGCAGAAAACAGTCAATTGTTGTGGCAGATATTATGCCCTAATTTAAATCTGTTGGACTTTTCTTGCTTTCTTTTTGAGCAACAAAATCCAATCTTAAAACTTCGCATCAGGCATGCTATCTGAGATTCCTTCCTTCCTCGCAGGGTGGGTGGTGAACAGCCCTCTCTGTTGGAACCTCTGACAGTTCCCACCTGGCAACAATGGTGGACTTGAAGATTCGGTTCCCTAATCTACATGCAATGCTACCGATGTAAAATCTATATTTTT